TTGATAGGGATTGCATTGAATCTATAGATTGCTTTGGGTAGTATAGCCATTTTGACAATATTGATTCTTCCAATCCATGAACACGGTATATTTCTCCATCTGTTTGTGTCCTCTTTGATTTCTTTCATCAGTGTTTTAAAGTTTTCTATGTATAGGTCTTTTGTTTCTTTAGGTAGACATACTCCTAAGTATTTTATTCTTTTTGTTGCAATGGTGAATGGTATTGTTTCCTTAATTTCTCTTTCTATTCACATTTTGTTATCTTTATTTCACTTTGAAAGAGGTTGTACTGAAGCTGCTTCATGTATTTATGTGCTGGAAAGCACAACGGAAGAGCAGTGCAGCCAGTCTCAGACAACTAGGCTCTTTCTGGTCGGTCATCATCCCATGCAGCTAGTGTTGGGTGGATTGGAATGCTCTGTGGGCATGGAAGAGGCATGCCCTATGCATCTGAATTTCCAGGTTTCCTTGTTGATGTCTATTGTGTCAGGATTTCTTCCTTCAGTCTGCAGTGAACCTTGCTTGCACTTATCACGTGCTGCTCTGCTCAGACACCCCCAAGAGCTCCTGCTTCTTCCTAACACGCATGTGCAGCTCTCGTCCAATGCCCTCACTCCCCCTAAGTAACATTTTCTGCCCTGAGGCTGGATATAGTCACCGAATTGCCTCTGCTGAAGCATGTACAAATCCTGAATTTAAACATGAATAAGGTCTTAAGTTATATACATTGCATGGAGAAGAAATAACCCAAAAAGTGAAGAGAAATTCCTCTGGCCTTGGTTATACTTGTATGAGTACACACACACACACAATGAGAAGACTGACAAAAATAGGAGAGAGAAGAGAAAAGGAGTTAGTAGACACTTTGAAATAGTCACACTTATAATCAAACTGATGATAGATTCAATCTATCAAGAATTATACTATCTGATATGCTAAATTTTCAAGGAAGACAAAAACTTAGCAATAGATCAATCTGTATATAAAATATTTACATTCATTTCAATGACAAAACATCATTATCTGTGTTTCAAATCCAAAAATACCCCTAATGACTCAATGACAATATAGATTAGAAGTATAGAATTTAATAATTATATATATTTTTAATGACTCATTTATGTAAACTTTAGGGAGATAGGTTTTAAACTTGAATAGAGTGGCAACC